CCTGCTGCAGCTGTTAAAAGCAGATGTCAGTAGTTATGTCTTGACCTGATTGCCTTGGGTAAGAGAGCTTTTACTAACTCCAGCAGCTGGAATATGTACCTAATGCTCAATTTGTGCTTTCTCCTCTCTAGGTGTTTCTTCTCTACTGTGAAGAATCTGCCCCCTTGTAGGGAGGAGGAACCTGGTGTAGAGCCCTGCTGCCTGCAGGGGGTGGAAGGATGGACAGGGTATGAGTTGGAGGGAAGAGACTGACCAGACAGGAGTCTTCTAGTGGTAATTCACTTCTGGACTAGTAAGGAAGGAAAGGAATGGTTGGACCTGTGGGACTTCGGAGTTCAGATAGTGCTGTATTTATTACAGAAAAATAAAGGAGTTTATTTGGACCTATCACTTGTGCATGCACTTCATTTAATTCTTAAACTAAAACTAAGCTACCAAAAGTTAGCTGTATCAGCAATCTAAAGGACAAGGCACAATTATATATTTCCTGCAAACAGGAGGCGCGGCCTAGCAAGGACTGTGCCTGTGTGACTTGGCAAAAGCACATCCACAGCTGAGCTGAGACTGGATTGGCAGCACTCCAGGCAGAGGAGGGGCTGGAGCGAGGTAATCTGAGATGTGTCCTACAGTATTTTCAGTAACATTATTTTTCCATCAATAGCCTCTTCCTGAAAAGCTGTCCTGACCCTAGAGCGAAGAAAATACGAACTGGCTGTGTGACTCTGATACAGTCAGCTGATGTTACTTAAAAGCCTTAGTGGGTTATGCAATGTTCTCAAGGTCACCAGAATTGGGAGCTGCTTTCCTCTTGCAGTCATAGCAGAACAGCCTCCAGCAGGAGACCTTGCTCCTCATGTTGGTGTGGAAGAGAATTTTGAGGTTTCAGCTGGAGCTTTAATAGCACAGCAGTGAAACAATGACACCTTCAGATGCTGAACTGCTGAATTTTCATGGCAGAATTAATGTGTTAACTGCTGACCTCTGGCTGTTGAAAACTGGGCAAGTTCCCAGCCCCTTGTGTGAATCTGTGAAAAAATCCAGGTCTAGCTTGTAAAAGCTGGCAGCAGATACTGGAGGCTGGTGTTGAAAGTCCTGTCCCTTCTAAATGTCAAGGCCTAAATTCTTGGTCGTAGTTTCCTGAGCTGTGCCTGGCCTTATCTGGGGTGCCTTGTGCTCTCCTGAGAGACAGCCAAGGGAAAAAGTAGATGCCAGAGACTCAAAGCCCAAGTGCTTTGTGTGCTGAGCTGCCCCAGTGTGAGCAGGGAAGAACCACTGTTTTAACAAACTGCCTTTAAGAAATAAATACTAGATTGATGATGGTGTGTGCTGGTCTGGGTAGAGCAGCTGCAGCAGGTGTGTGCTGTCTTCTGACCCATCTTGGTGGAGTGCTGGCAATGCTGCCCCAGGGTTGTGGAGGCCTGGATGTCTCTTGAACACCTTTTCCACAGCAGTGGACAGTCTCTAGAAGGCCACTGCCAGTGCAGTGGTGGTGGTGTTGAAGGCAGGATCATCCAGTGAGGCAGGAGCGTGTTCCTCTGGCTGCCTGTGCAGGTGGGTTGAAAGGAGGTGTGGTTTCTTGTCGCTCGGAGTGCAGGCTGTGCCATGGGAACATGAGTGACCCCCTGAAATGGGAGGCTGCTGCTTGTGCCTGGCTGTGGTGCTGTGTTCGCGTGGTTTGTCAGGGTGCAGCTTCGAATGTGGTAGTGTGAACCTCTGAGAGGAGCAAGGGGATCCCAGGAAGAGGAGCTACGTAGCAGAGGATTCTTGCCGAGCTGGGGTGAGTGCCTGGGCAGTACGGCATGGCGGTTGAGCCCTGGTGGGGGCTGTGCTGCATTTGTGACCAGTAACGGGTCTGCTCCTCATCTATGGGTGCCTTTGAGCTCTGCGCTCTTCTTCTGTGAGGTGGGCCTGGGCCTGGCTGGGGTGCTGGTGCGGGGCTGAGTTCTCCTCTGCAAGGAGCCTCTCCTCCACTGGTGTCGCATCTGGGTGTTTGCCGAGAGCTGCTGCAGCCGATCTGTGGAGTGATCCCCTCCAGAGCTGGGTGTTTTCCTTCTGTGTTGGTCAGTTGCCCCATGGTGTGTTGAGTGACGCTATGCCAACCTGTGAGACTACAGCCTGGGAGGGGGACTTCTGGGTTTCCTGATCTCTCCTGTTGTTCCTCCCTCCCTGTTTGTCCCAAGAAAATGTTCCACTTTTGCTTTGGACCCCCCCAAGCTGGGGGAGCTTGTGCCTAGTGTGGGGTGGGAGGGCAGCAGGTGCCTGCTGTCACAATGACTAGGAGGGCTTCTGCAAAGCAGCCCTGGCTTCTGCTCGTCCCTTCTCTTGCTGCCTGAATTCACTTGCTACCCACAGCCATAACCAGTCCTGAAGCTCAGTGGTGTGAGGGGGCACAGTGAAATGCAGAGGACCGTCCCACAGACAGGGCACAAGGGCTGTTGTGGGGAGAGGAGTCATGCCTGCACCCCCAGCTCCTCTGTGGAGGTGAGATGGGTGCCTGGCTCTTACCTGCTAGGTTAGGGTAGTGTTTCCCCAGGTTCTCTAGTAAGGATTCATAGCAGGTAGCTTCAGAGCTTTCTCCTCCTGCCAGTAGAATGGGAATTAATCTCTCTCCTGGCTGAAAACTGAAGTCAAGACTTGTAACTGGGGCAGGTGGCTCTGCCCAGGAAAGGTTCCTTCTGCCCTGGAGCAGCCACCTTGGACAAACACAAGGTTCAGCACTAGCTCTTCATCTGAGCTGGCTTCTGCTTCCTCAGAGCTACTGTGCCTTGTCCAAGTGACTGCTGAACAGAGCCCCTCTCCAAAGCTGCATTGCTGTTTCTAGGATGTGACAGGGTTTTCCTGGTGTGAGGGACACCACCACCTCCCACCCCCACCCAAAAGCAGACCCTTCCTGGCACAGAGGCTGAGCTGTGCTGTCTTGCCAAAGGACTTACGGACAACTCTGATGAGGATGTAGTGCTCCCTCTCCCGCAGGTATTTACTGGTGAATTCAGATGCAGCATTTTCCACTTTGCTCAGGTTCATCAGGGTACCTGCTTCATCCAGGAGATCGATGTGGTCTGAAGGGAGAGAGATGTGGTGAAGAAGGTCTGATGTGTCCCTGTGTGGCCAGTGTGAGTCTGTGGGGTTTAGCGGTATTTTCCTTGGCAAGTCACACTTTGAAGAGGATCCATTGAGGTCTAGAGGGGAGGAGGTTTGCTGCCCCTTTCCCTGTGTTTTGGGATTATCGGGGATTCCCATGTGACCTGTTACCCTCTGGTGCTTCCCTGTGGGTGAACGCCAGTCCCTCTGGTGACTGCTGCTCAGGAGCACTCGCACCTTCTGACCTGCACTGACACTTCCTCTTCAGGTGAGCTGTGAGGATCAGGACGCGGCACTGCAGGTTCACCATCTCTTGGCAGTTGGCTGCAGACAGGGAATGAGACCTTGAGATACAAGTGTGGTCACCCTGAATCTGGGGGCCCCATGGGCATGGCAGGAGGCACAGCGGGTGGCCAGCACAGGTAGGGTCCCCATGTGGCTGTCAGCAGGGCTTTGAGCTGGTGACAGTCCAGCACGGATGAAGACTTTTATTTGGGGAAAATGATTCTGCTTAATGAATTAGTTTCATCAAATGGGAGTAGGAAAAAGCAGTAAGCCCCGGTCCTTGCTGGTCCCCTTCCACAAACTTGTCCTGGTCACGGGGGGAAGGAGCCGGAGGTAGCAGCTGAGTCACCCGGGGACATTTTGGCCGTGAACTCTCACCAAGTTGTCATGATTGAGAAATCCCTAGGGCTGACGCACGTCAGTAGTCAGAGCTGGGGATCCAATTCAAATAGCAGATGGAGCAAAGGCTTAGGACCCTGTGTGTCTGGCAACTTCAGCGGCAAGTGTCTGGGGTCAGGCAAAGGCTCTCTGCCAGCTGGGCAAGGCCGGGACAGGGTCTGCTCATTCCCTCCCACCTGCCCCGGGTACTTGCTCTCTGAAGCCGAGGGCCAGGATTTGAGCCGGGGGAGCCCTTCCCGCACAGCTGGGAGCAGAGGAGCTCTGCTGGCAGCTGTCACTTCGGCCCCAGGGCTCTTCTGCTTGTGTCTAGACAAGCAGAGTCCCCTCCAGTGATTCCTCAGAGCTGCAAGGCTGGAAACTCATCCTTGCCTCTAGCTTCCCTCCCTGCTAACAGCTTAGCTCTGCTGGGATGGTTTTCCTCCATGATGCATCTTGCATGGGTTAAGTATGTCCCTTTTTTTTTTTAAATAGCTGAGGCAAAGGATGCTGTTGTGTGCTGGCAGAGCTCTCCTGCCCTGTTCCCTAACCACTGGGCATCGCTCTGCATCAAGGTGCCATGTCCCTCCCTGCCCCTCATGGGGCCACCACCTGGTGATGACGATGGTCCAGGTGACCAGCCAACGCCCAGAGCTGAGGCAAAGCCAGCGCCTTCCCCACGTACCTCCGTATCTCACTGTGACGAACATGGCGCTTCGCACGCCTCCTCCCAGAGCTGCTCTCCCTCGGCGGGGTCCGGGCCTGCAATGTGAGGGCTGCTCGTGGCAGGCACCAGGGATGACAAAATGCCTGATGGCGTTGGCTGCTGGAGAGCCCAGGGGAGGAGCTGTGTTTCCAGCCAATGCTGTCCTGCTTTCAGTAGCCAGATTTCCCAGCAACCGGGAATGGCCCCCGCGGATCCCTGAGCCTCCTGCGGAGTGGGAGAGAGAGGGTAGAGCAGGGGCTGGGCTAAACTACAGCCTGTCGGGAAGGCTGCCTGCTCCGTCTGGCCCCAGCCGCCCGCGGTCTCAGCCTTCTCGCAGTCCCGTGCTTCCTGCCACCCCCGTTTGACCTGCAGCTCCTCTGGGCTGCGATGGTGCCAGCTCCCGCCCAGCGTGAGGTGCTGGGGCTCCGCAGCAGTGGTCGGGACGGCGGCTGTAGGGCTTCGCGGTGAACGTGGGCTGGTGCCGCAGTAGGTCCCGGGCTGCGTTTCGCCCGGGCCTGGTGGGGCAACTGTGCCTGGTCAGTGATATGTCAATCTGGGATAAAACCTGCCTTGTTTGGCTGAGTTCCTTCTGTCCGTTGAGCACATCTCGTGCTGCGCGCAGGAGGGAACGAAGCTGGCAGAACGGGATGAGCGGGTGGCTCGTACCTGCTCCCGCACTTGGCACAGGGCCGCCAGAGCGATGTGCGCGGCTTACGCACCAGCTGCATCTTCCAAATGGTGCTGTACAAGCGATTCTGCAGCAGGGCTGGGGGGGCCCTGTGGCATCATCCCCTTTTCTTGCAGAGGTGCTGAGACACATCCCCGGGCTGGTCAGCAGATGTGGAGGACCTGAATGGTGGGAACCAGTAACAATGCTGATGTACTGCATATCCAGTGCTTGCTGCTCTGTGGACAAATTCCCTTTCCAAAATGCCCCTCCATGCATGAGGAGGTGATTTCCTTCTGCCTCGGTGGGCCTTCATTTCACAGGGTCTGTCTAATCCATGGACTTGATCTGCTTGGGGCTTGGTGACAGGGTGTGTGTGTGACACTCCTCGCCTAGGACACATGTGCAGGGCGGCTCACGTTCACCTTGCCACCACCTTGCCGAGCCTGGGGAGTGCTGGTGGGCAACAGCTGGAGCTGTGTCTGCAGTATGCTCATACCTGCGTGGGCTTGGGGGCCTGGCTGCATGAAACACAAGCTGCTGATACGCCGCGATGGCGGGACTTTGCGAGGCCAGAAGACATCCAGGCAAAGCCCCAGCCTTGAATGGGCTTTGGAGCTGGTCTTGCGCGGCTGTTGCTGCCCGCTGTAGGCTGGCTCTAAGAAGTCTGCGACAGCAGGTTTGCCTGGGTGGGCGCAGGTGGGACACAGCCAGGCTTTACCGCATGTGCAGGGGCTGCTGGGTGGCACCTATACACTCCATATCCCCCTGGCAGATGTACAACAGCCCTTGCTGCCCTCCTGTACTGCAGCAGCCCAGCTGTGCGAGGTGCCGTACGGTCCCATCAGGTCTAACAGGCACCTCGCTGTTTCGTGGCACTGCAGGTGCGGACCCTGCTCTGTGGCATCTGTGTTACAGCTGCTCTGGGTGCCTCAGTCTCTGCCTTTCACTCACATTTTCCCCTCGCTGCTCCCGAGGGAGGCTGTGTCACAGTAAATTGGGCAGGGGTGTGCGGGTAATGGCTTTTGTTAGACCAACTGATACAGAATGCGGAAAAAATAGACGAGCTGTTGGGTGCACCAGCCCTTGTTCAGAGCAGCGCAGTGTGGCACAGCCAGGCAAGTGTCCAGCTTGCTGCATCACATCCTTGGATGATGGTGGTGCTTCCTCTTCAGGATCTGCCTGGGCCAGAGACAGAGTGCTGGGGTGTTCTAACGAGGCAGGGCTGTGTCTCGGAGCTCCGTTTTCCCTCAAACCCAGACCACCATGTCAGGAACCACTTGCAAACATCTTTGGCTTGGGGCACCTTGGGAGCAGGGCTGGGTGCTGCAGCGGGGAGGGAAAGGACCATCCCTGGATGGTGATGTGGTGGCTTTGGGGAGGGCACTGAGCCTGCCTGTGGAGGGCAGGAGGTACCTGCTGGTTATGGGACACTGCGAAGTGCCTGCTGTGAAGGACTGCCGTGGGCTGGAGCGTGCAGAGACGTGCTGGGGGGAGGACAGCCCTTGGCTGTGTGTCTCAGCCCTGTGGCGGGCGTTACAGACAGGAGGGGCTTTATGCCCGGTGAGCTTGGAAGCCTTTTGCCGTAACCGCCTGCTGTCTTTCCGCGCGAGGCACCAGCTGCGCTGCAGCCGTGCCTCGCTGCTGCGCCAGCTCCCTTGGGAAATGCCTTCTGGCAGGTGACTTCGGCGGCCACCCCCGCATGTTTGCCCGTGGCTGCTGTTTCTGAGGCAGCCCTGGCAAAGAGGCAGCGCTTTCTGCACCATCGGCAGCTCCCAGCCCCTTGTCACAGCGATGGAGCTGCATGGAGAGGGGAGCAGCAACTTTCCTTATATTGCTTCTGCGATGAGACAGCTGCCGGGGACTCTGCCGTGTCCTGCCTTTCACTCTCCCCAGTGGTGGCAGAGCCAGGTGGCCTCCAGCCTGCTGCTACCAGAGCATCCTTGGCATGGTGTGGCTCAGGCTCCTGGCCTCCTGCACGCCTGGTGGCAGAGGGCCCGAGGCAAAAGGTCTCAGTGTAAGACCGGAGGGAAGCCTCTCTGCTCCCTCCATCAGAGAGGTGAGACGGTCGGTGGTGCCTCCTCACCGTACCCTAGTGCCCGGGGCAGAGGGTGGTGGGGTGGGCTGTGCGTGCATCGGTGCACCTGGAGGAAATGGCCTAGCCTGGGGTGAAGGCGGGTGGTGGGTCGCAATGCTCTACTCTCACCCCACTGCTTCGAGCCCCCTCCCTGAAGCCCAGCTGCAGCAAAGCGAGCAGCGCGGGGAGCTGGAGTCCCCAAGCCCCCTGTGTCATTTACATACGCCTCACCGGCGCCAGCAGCACAGCAACCCGGGTTCGTGTAGCACCGCAGACCCTCTCCGAAACAGCCTCCCTTCCTCTGCTTCCTGCCATGGCCCTGGGCTGCATGGTCCTGCTCCTGGTGGGGACAGTGGGGACAGGTAAGGGTGGTGTGGCTGAGCTAGCTGCTGCCGGGGGGGGCCCTCAGGGTGGCGGGCAGGGCTGGGCTGGGCTGTACAAGGGGTTGTTAGTCTGAGTAGGGCATTTTGCTCCAGGGCTCTGTGGTGTGATGAGCAGGATGGAGGTTAGGTAATGGGGTTGCCTCAAGGGAGCAGGGGGACATTTTGGAGCTGGGGGCAATGGGGGACGTAGCTCAGCCCATCAGTAACTGCATCCTTGGTGCGCGCAGCTTCCAGGGCTCAGCCCGTGCTGACCCAGCCATTATCTGTGTTGGTGCTGCCTGGGCAAACTGCTCGGCTGTCCTGCACCCTGAGCCCCCAGTACAATATCAGTGAGTTCGGCATCTCCTGGTACCAGCAGCGCCCAGGGCACTCCCTGAGGTATCTGCTCTATTACAACTCCGAGCAAGACAAGCACAAGCCCGCCAAGATTCCCGACCGCTTCTCTGCTACCAAAGACCTTGCCAATAATGCCTGCATCCTCATCATCGCATCCGCCTGCCATGAGGACAATGGCAACTATTACTGCTCCCTGTCACGTGCCTTCAACTGGTTTTAGAAATGGAGAACAAAAGCTTTCTGCATTTTCCCTCGCAACCCTGATGCAAAGCCCTCAGCAGGGAGAACGGCAGCCCTACGAGGAATGGAAAAAGAAGCTCTTGCATGCTTGAGCAAGCCCAGCAGCACTGCATTGTGCTGTCAGGTGCAGCAACCTCCTCCTCGACCCCGAACATCCCCCATGGAGCATGAGACAGCCTGACACGGTGTGAGACCTGCCAGGGCTCAGCCCAGGAGCACACGGGAGCAGGGATCTCCTGCTGTGGTGGGAGGATGGAGAGCTCTGCCGTGGCCTGGCTTTCCTGGGCTTTTCCAGCACTTGGCACAACACAGGCTTGATCCTGGCTTGGGCTTCTGCACAGTTTGGCTCACCTGATAATAAAGGTTAATACTTAGCCACACGGCTTGTGTCATGTTCGTGGAGTCCAGAGGAGCCCCTTGGGCATCTCCCTGCAGCAGGGCGCCATGCCCTGCGGTATCCGAGGCAGGAGGGTGAGCCAAAGGTGCTACGGCTTTGAGTTTGGTGGGAGCTCTTGGGCCTGGATGGAGCTGTGTCACCCACCCCTGGCAGAGCCCATCTCCCCCAGAGCCCCCCACCCACACTGCCCTGCCCACAGGGAGGTCTGTCCCCACACCGTAAGGACCTGTCCCCTCCCAGAGCACCCTCAACGCCTCGTC